CAACCCGAATCGGACGTGTGAGATTGAGAAGATGTGGCTCAACTCCGGCCTTGACAATCTTTGTTGCCTACACCAATACAGGCTACGACGAAGAGGAACACGAAGGGGTATCCCCCAAGAGGCCCATCGCGCGGCGAAGGAAGAGACGCAGATGCGGCAAAGGACGAGTCGCAGCGCGTGCTGTGCGATATGAGACGGGGTGTGCGTCATATGGCGCGATCCCATTGGCATTGGAGCGCACAGGCCGTAATTACCACATCCTGCTGTGGCCGGACAACTCGTCCGCGCAACACATTCTGTTCCGTTCCTCTTGCCTTGGCATCAGGCCAACGAAGCTATCCACTCTTTTTTAGATCTTTGGGACTCAGCGAGATTTTTGAGGGCCCAAATTATCACATCGATCAATTGCTGAAGTCTAGCAGCTGTGTGATACGGACGAGTTGTCCTGGATGCGCTGCGACCCGTCCTTTGCCGCGTCAGCGTCTCTTCCTTCGCCTCGCAACGGGCCTCTTGGGGGACACCCGAACACGAAGCATTCTATATGGAATTGGAGACGTTCTAGTTCTACAGGGAAGGATCATTGGTACCTTCTTCAAGGTCTCACCGGAAAATTCGTCTAAGATGGTTCCAAAAGAGCGACCGAACATTTCGCATCGGGCATAATCCCTATCCCAGATAGGAAGAGTATCGTCATCCTCGGCCCGTACATGCCGATCGCGCATCACTCTCAGGTCGCGGACTCTGACATCAAGCTTATATTATAGCGCGTGATCAGAAAAGGCCCACCAAATGTGCGTTTTGCAAATTTATGGTTTTGCGGGGAGCTCGACAAGGGGATCCGTTTACTGTTGGAAGGAGGAATGCCACGATAAAAAGGCGAGTGAAGAAAGAACCCCTGCTTGCAATGGCGACATGTCATGCGACGCAACTACGAACAAAAAATCACGCGTCTACCTATTTATGCAAAATTTAGTTGAGATAAAGAGAAACAAAATCACTACCAGTGTCCTTTAGCAGGTCGAGTGCTCACCTCCAGAAAAGGATGACTTCACCGCCTTCCTCTAATTTCGTGTTTCTGAGAAGGAATTCCTCAAACGCTAGATTTTTGAAAATACATGTCGAACTTGAAATATAGATCCGACCCAGACCTTTGCGAATTACTTCGCACATACTCCTGGAAATAAGTTAGATTGCTACTTAAACTTCATCGCTGACTTTGGCCACGTATACTTTGTACCGTAGGGAGGCCTGCACCTGGCAAGCGTGGTGATGGCCTCGATGGTGCTGATACCATGAATGCCAAGTAGCAAGCCTCCAACCAGGGTCAACCCTTCGTCGGTCCGTTCACACTATTCGAACGAGGGGGTTGCATTTGTGCTTCGGGAAGGGATGGTCGCATTTTGGGGGAAGGCAATGCTATCATAGTCGGAACGCAACGAATTTGGTGAAAGGTCTAGGAATGCAGCGTGAAGTAGACAAACAACATTGGAGGATTCGCAGCTTCATGACATCAATTTACCTCCCCTCCCCCTACTCCCCACTCGATGGCTGTTTTAGAGGAAAAAGTGGGCGGAGTTAGGCTGTGTTGACTGGTCTCAGAATCAATGAATTAAATACTATAGAAACAGCCATGATGGAAAGGGTGGCAGTCGGGATAGGGGGGGGGTGTATTGGGGGAGCCTCTTAAGACCTCTTAATCGTTCGCATCGAGACGCCTAAAGGGGGTGTGGTCGCAAAATTGTCGGAAGTGCGAACATGACGGTTGACTCAGTCTCCAACTACAAGCCCCGGCGCGAAATAGTATTCAAGGGAACGGTGCGCAGCTGCGACTCGGCCTATAGAAGCAAAAGTTGCATACAGATGAAAGTATGATTCAAATATTAGAGCGAGATGAATAGGATAGTGTAAAAGAGGACAATCATCTATGTACACATTTCGAGAGATACAGAAACCGTTTCGTGAGGTCACCTTTAAATGCTGCACCCCATACACCACAAATATTAAGGTAACTTAGGCATTACATTCATGGAAACGGCAGAAACGTAAGTTCAGTAAAAGAAGACAAACGCCATGATCGCATCCTTCAAAAACATTCAATTCACAATTCAAGAAGATTTATTCGCGATCACCCATTTTTAAATTTATGAACAACGACAAACAATGTAATAATGAACAAATGAGATCAATGCTGCTCGCAACAACTACGGAATTTCTCCTAGGAAAATACGTTTGTCACTTCCGGCAGATAACACTCTTTGATGAATGAATATAGGGATACAATATCCAATTAATATACTATAGCGAACACTCGACGTACAAAAATCACACAAAAGTAAGCACCCTTGAAAGCCAGAACGAAACTACTGATATATGCTCAGTAGGGTGCAAATCAGTGGCATTCACTGATCCTAAATCCCTGGCAGCTTCTTGCAACTATATAATAGCGAGTGACGCATCCCAATACTACCAAAATCTATCACATATCACATCCCAGCCGTCCACGCCGTTACCCATCACCATAACCAACCAACATTTCACGAACCGATCTACTAATGAACATGATAAGTTAGGTCACTCAGAAGTACAATGAACATAATAGACACTAGGGCAAGGCCTTCTCGAATGGTGCCTGACTGGCCATAAAGAACGACTTAAAGGTTGGCAACGCTCTTTGTGGTGGCATAAATGTCTTTACATCCCAACATTTTCGTCAATAAAAAGGGATAAGTAAAAGCAACCAAGTATGACCGATTAGAATGGCATAAAGCAGACAGAGAAAAAATTACAGATCGCATCGCTCCTAGACACATGTAACATAGGAAAGCCAAATTTATAGAATTTTTGTCCCTTCACACCCTCACACCTACTTCGAACCTAAATGTAATGAATTTGCTGGGTTTTGTGTATGGCTATCCTACCACCAATGAGAAAGTTCTAAAGAAAACGTAGCTGGAACAAGAACTCAATTGTTGGAAACAATTTAAAAACCACATCCTCGATTTCATCAATGTTTGAAGTCGACAATTCCTTTCTTAATTTCCATGTCCTTTCCATTACTACATTTTCTATTTATTGTCGTATGCTAATAATATAAAACAGTTACCTGAGCAGTCCATACTGTTAGACAGCAAAAACTTCCCATCTGGACTGAGTGCCAAACCAGTAATTATATCCTTGTGGCCGTGCATTACATAAGAAATATCATCGCGTCTCATATCCCAACACTGAAAGAACACATGAATCACATAAAAACATCGCTCAAATCCCATAAGTTTACTGATGTCAACGTGGCGGAAAAACTTTTGAAGAGTTCTGTTATTGTCTGGGCAATTTTATGCACGATCAGACACTAATTGGCTAAAACACATTCTTTCAGCTGACGTTTCAGAAATTGCTGCTTCCACTACTAGTGAGTCCGACCGTATCTCATGATTTATTTCCACCCATTCGTAAGAGATAAAGGACTAAATTGGCCTATCCTCCCACCGTTCGCCCACGTTCTGTTCAGATCTCAAGATCAGCAACTTGAGCGATAGGGAAGACTAAACAGCCCCCTCCCCCAAATGACTTACGCAATAATCATCAAACGATAATATTATAGATAAATAATGGGAAGGTGACAGGAAAGGTAACGAAAAACTCACATAAATATCACTATCAATGCTGCCGACAAAGATCTCGTCTGTTGTGTCATTGAATGTTACAGCCAATTGCTGGAATCTGTTCTCATAGGTCTTAACAGCATTTTTCTGTCGTACGTCGTGCACCTGAAATTACTCCGGCCGTATTAAAAACCCATTTAGCCTAATGCTCATTATCTAAAAAAAACAATAACTGGCCATTTGAGAAGAGATAAAATTCCGACAAAACTCCCTCATTATTCAATAAACTAATTCCCCATTTTCTAGCTTACTTAGCGATGCTGTAGAAAGAAGTATGAAGGGGAAAGTATAGGGTGAAAAAATTAAGGAGCTTCAATCTTACTTTGACTAAGCCGTCATCTCCAGCAGAACAGACCAGCTGTGGTCCTCGTCGAGACGGGTGACACGCATTTACGATGTCAACATGTGATTTGAATTTCCGTCGGCAGGCTCCCGTTTCCATGTCCCATACTCGGACAGTTTTGTCCGTGGCAGCAGATACTAACAAGCTGAATAGATAATAGGGAAATATGAAAACTTCATTTCAGCAGTGCTCATTAAATTCATAATAGTTCGTTTGGAAATGGTCAAGACGAAAATCGCGATAAAACATGTTAATATAAGAGAAAATGAGGTGGAGAAAATAAAGGAGGGTCCAATTAGCGATAGGTGGCAGTTTCTTTAAAGGTACGCTATCAACGGCGTGATAAAGCGCTGAATGTGTCTCAGAAGCCCCTCAAATTCTCATACACACCCACCACCGGCACGTGGAAATGATGCAGCGTTTGAGATGACCAGGTATAGCTATCTTTTGACTTTCTTTTTTGT